ATAGGGTAGTCTTCGAGTGCATTTTGAACATTAGTTCGGAGGATTGTTGGAAGCAAACCTAAGAGCACCCGAACCAATGCGTTGTTATTTTAGTTAGCAACTTGTTTACGCACCGGTCGTTGATGTCACGATTGTGAATTTACGTTTTCGGCTTTCGCACCGATAGTCGCTAAACTTATCGTCGAACTTCGAACTGAAATTGATCACAGAGTTTCGTAATTGTTTTTTTTTCGACAATATTGATATACCTAACCACGAAGACTAAAGATTGAAGGTTAAGATCCCACTACAGACCCAGGTACTCAAGAAACGGTCCTCCGGAAGATCCGAATAACATAACGTTTTTTTTAAATCACTTTTTGTGATGCTACATGAATTTGAGTCTTGGACTCGCACACTGGTGGTCACGAAACTGCCCTCTGAGAGATCCGGAACATCCATAAAAGTGGTCAATTTGTAAAAATGATCGAAATATCGATTTTCTATGCCCATATGGATTACTACATTACATATTTTAGCTTGTGAATGGATCAAGCTCGGTTGGTCGAATTTAATACGGTAGATCTATGAACATCAGAAAAAATTGAAGTCTTTAAGAAGTTCTGATTGATAGAAATGTGGGGAAGTTGAAAGATCTCTAAGAGCAAGTTTCGACAGCTCCAGGGCAATCCAATAGATTTGAGGGAAATTTACTTCAGTGAAGATCAAGAGCTTCAGGGCAGTTCGATTAAATTCAGGGAAAATTAGGCTTAAAGACCTATGAGTAAGTTACGGAAACTTCGGGTAAGTTCTGAAAATGTTAGGGCAGTTCTATGCATATCAGGAAAACTGAGATAACTTAAGGGACGTACCTAAAACTTTTGGTTCGTTTTGAGAACTTTATGGCGGATCCATTTATTTCAGTAAAATAGAGGAAACCATCAAGAAGTTCCGAAAAAAAATAAAGGATAGTTTAAAAACTTCAAGGAATGAACCTAAAAACATTAAGAAAGCTACATAGATGATCCATGTTTAAGGTGAAATTTAAAGATATTCTGGGCAACAATTCCAGGAACATTATCAGGACAACATAAGTAAATTTCAGGAAACAATAGAGATCTTCAGGAGAGTCTGAGGCAAGGTTGCACATACTCATTTCAGCTAAACTAATGTTTTTCGGAATAATATAACCAAAAGATGGTATGATGGCATGTTTTACTTGTAACTTACAAGAAGAGGTTACAAAGTATGTGTTTGAAACATAAAACCTGTAAATTTTGCTTTCTATGAGTCACAATCAGCGATTTGCTGATCGCTGAGTTAGTGAGTGAGTGAGTGTGTGAAAAATCGCTGATTGTGACTCTCATGAAGTGAAATAAACAGGTTTAATATGTCAAACACATTCTTTGCTATCTCTTCTTGTATCCTACCAATTCAAAATATGATCATGGCATCTAATTATTTCATAATTTAAAAAAAAAACATTGTTGAGTATTGAGTATTTGCAACCTTGGTCTGAGGAATGAAAAGAAGTACTGAGAATTTCAGAAAGTTTCATAGGCAAACAGCGGGAACAAAAGGAAAGTTCCGCAAAATTTCTGGAAATTTTTGTGAACTTCAGGCAAACTTTATGATTTTTAAAGTGGTTCCAAAAGATTTAGGAAACTGCAGGAACTTTTAAGTGAAATTTAAGAAATCCAGGGATATCCAGAGAACTTTAATTTCAGAAATGTGGAGATAACTTGAGGAAAATTGACATTGTAAAGAACTTCCAAGTACCTCAAAGAAGTTAAACTAGAGAGCTTTAGGGAATTTCAGAGATATAACTTCATAACTTCAAGAAATTCAATAAATTCCAGACTTTCATGGAAGTTTGAAGATTTGCATGCGTGAGTTCCGATACATTCCGGCCAATTCAATAAAATTTAGAAAAGCTTCGAGAATTTGTTTGACAGTTTAAGGTAGTACCAAGAACTTCAATAGAATTGAGAGTACTTCAGGAATGGAAAAAAATAAATTAATAAATAAATAAACTAATTTTATGGAAATTTAAGAATGTTTAAGAAGTTCCAAGAAACTCAGGGAATTTCCGAAACATCGTCAAAGTACCGAGACTTTTATTTAAATTTTAAAAACATAAGAGATCTTACATGAGCATCAGAAAAATGTGAGAGCATTTTAAGGAATTTCCATGGTATTCAATGCAGCTTAACTGCAAAAAAATGCAGGGACTTCTGCGACGATCAGATTATGTTCAAGAAAATAGCGAGATCTTTTAAAATGTTCAGATTTTTTTTTAGTAGTTTCGTTATATTTTGGAAAGTTTCCGGAACTTCGTAGATGATTAGAGATCTTCAAATCAGTTTCATTTATTTAAGTTTGCAGGATATTTCGAGGAATTCAAACGCATTATGGGATATTTCTCGCGTAACATTTGAAAAGGGCCTATCCTCGTTGATCGATTCTCTTAATCGACTTTCTCTTTGGTTTACCACGGCAACATAAAAGAATTTCTCGCTAAGCTCGCAGCACAGCTCAACAGATGCTTCAGAATCAATGCGAGGCCTTCAGAAATTGTTTATAAATATGATTAAAATTTCCGGAACAATGAAAAAACATAATGAACTTCAGGAAAGATTCAAAACCTCAGGGAAGCCCAAATAAAACTAGGATTTTTACGCGAAATGACTACTTTTGTACACCCAACCGGGGGATGTAAGATTCGCTCACAATTATGTGGGATTCATCATCAGAGGGCCGGGTAAAGCAGGTGCATAATAGCACCTATCAATGGTTGTTGGGTTCTGCCCTGACCGGCGATTTGCGACCTCTGTGCACCTGAACTCCGATTCTTACCTCCACGCGGTGCCCGGTGGGGTTGCTGGCGGTGATATTTGCCGTCAGTAATGCGAACAAGAACGGGGGATCATTGTTGTCACTAATGCACAATTGTTTATAAGTCGCTAGTGTCGGTGATGACGATGATAGAGCAAATAGGTTATAGCCAACTCTAAGTAGCCCGTGATTATCGCTACCTGGGGATGCTAATCGGCTGGGTGCTGGTTGCGACTTGGCCGTCCTGAATGAACTTTTTCCACCTCTTCAAGGTGGTTCGTTTAAAAGGACGTTAATAAATGGAAGCATCATCAGAGGATGTTAGTGGAGACCACATGAACCGAAGATGCGATCTACCTAGCTGCGGTCCAATGCAAGAAAATTGGAGACCGAAAAATGTAGAGTGTATTAGTGAGGTAAATTAGTTATATCGAAAAAAAAAATGGAAACAGACTGCCGACTGGACTCGAACCACTAGCGTTGCGATTATCAGACCTGTGCTTTCTCCACTGCTCTCTCCATGCTTCTGAATATGGCAAGCCTTAAAGCAAACAGCGCTTCATCATTTTCTCGCATACTCGATGCTCGTATGCTTTTGTTTGCTGGAGAGATTCGAGGCAAGTGTGTGCGTCGTTCTACAATGTTCTACAATGTGCGTCGTTTTACAAGCTTACTGGTATAGTCGAAAGCGTAGATAGAATACGAAATAAAAAAGACAAAAAACCATTACATCGCCTGTAAGGTCAATTTCTAACATTCGTTGCGATGTTCATAAACAGAGGATGATAGGAAACGGAACTAACATTCGTTGTAATAGATTTTTGGTTTGCTAAAACCCTCTTATATAAAGAAACAAAAAATCTTTTTTATCACTTTTTCGCATGGTCAGGATCTTCCGAAAGTCCGGATTGTTGCCAGCAGAGTTCGCATGCTGGTCCCAGATCCAAATCCATTAATGTAGCATCAAAATAAGTGATAAAAAAATACGGAGCTCTAGGATCTTTTCTACGAATTGGCTCCCTTTACGGATGTTCCGGATCTTTTGAAGGACCGTTCCATGGCCACCAGAGTGCACATACTAGTTTCAAATCCAAATTCATTCATGCAGCATAACAACAAGTTGATTAAAAAAAATCTAGATCCTTTTTTAGAAATTTTTCACATTTACGGATGTTCCGGGTCTTCCAGAGGAATGCTTTGCTGGCCCTTGGGTCCACATTTTTGTCTCAAATCCAAATTAATTCATATATCACAATGTTCAAATGAAAAACAAAACAAACATTTCATAGATAGCAACGCTTGGGCCGGTTGCTATCGCGCTGCTATATTTGTCAACCCGCTGTTCACCGAGAGACAGATTGTTATTTCGCGCACTTGAATAGCAACCCCCAGTGCGGTTACTAGCTTCAGCAACGCATTGGTGCGGGTGCTCTAAGAAAAGCTAAAGCAATCCCACTGCTTCACCTTTTCGCAATATAAGGCTAATATAATGTTTCGAATCCCTATATTAGCCGTGCGAAAGGCTTATATTGCCAAAGGTGAGTATTGGTAACCTGAGAATTATGAAACAAGTCCGGAGGTTTAGTTAATAAAGCTCAGTGAACTGTTAACTGAGGCAAGGGAGCGGATTCACACCACTGCCAGAGTTTGTCCAGCAAACATTCCTTCTGGATTCTCGATATCCGAGTTTCTTCAGACTAACCCGCATAGCTCTCTGGATTGTGACTTAAATGAGTCATATAAAAGTTTCTACCACCACTTTGCAACATGTACTAGGCTTTCATTCGATGTTACCCTTTGATCTTCTTTGGGACAAATCTTCGTGATTCGGGTTTAGTTCTGAAAGTCTTTTTAGAGCAATGCAATTTTTAAGCAACATAATCCAATCGATGAGTTCAACATTTGAGTGAAGGAATCAGCTATGCGTTTTCATAACTTCAGCGATTTGATTTAAAATGTCAGAATAATAGTTTGGCATGCACTTTGTTCTACAGTTCTTTTCCTCAAGGCAATCATGCAATCAATCGCAAAAGCAGAAAACCTACCAAAACAATCAAGCATAAAACGAAATTACATAAAATCAAACACACTGCTTACTGTTTGGAAAACTCCTTGCATAAGCTTTTCTCTCCCGGCCTGCTCCCAAGCACCACTCCACTCTCCCGCTCCCTCTCGTGCTTTCGTACTCTCGGTTTTCCGCCGACGACTTATGCTTTCTCCCGGCTTTCTTTGCCTACCTCCCTCCCTCCCTGCCAACCGCACTCGTGCCCTTGCTCTTCAAGATCAAAGCAAGCTATTGATGGTGGCTGATTTGGTTTAATGGCCGGCCTAAGCTCGCAACACAAATGGCCTACTAAGTGGCTAGTGTTCACTGCAAGCGAAAGCTCTTCCTGGTAGTGCTCTCACCACCCGTCACTGTTCCGCCGCCTGCTACGAGAAGAGCACCGACCGCCGCGGATGTCGTAATCGCCGCACGACCAATAGGCACCTTTGCTGCTGTCGGGTGCAACACAGAAAACATGCAAAAATATGTGCGAAAAAAATGAAAATAATGCACACTTTCGTAATCCACTCAGAGCGCGAACCTTCCGCTCCGCGTTCCTCCAACGACCGACCGGTGCTGACAGGTGACTGCGGCTGGATTTTTTTTCCCCCGTTTAAATTGTTCTACCCCTCCTCACTCAGCAGAGGAGCATACTGGGACTGCACGTACACTTGCACACTTTCGACTAGGAAAAAAAAAGCCCGGTGTATCGCACCTAAGCTAACCTTTAGTATTTCACTATCTTCCACTTAGCACTTCGAAGGCGACACTTACAACGCGAAACTCCGGAAGCGTCGGGTATCTCCGATTTTTGCAGAATCTTCCGGAACAAACGGAACTTGACCCCGGGAAGAGGCAGCGTGTGGACACTTTTGACACGGTTCTGCTTTTCAGGACCAGCTGTGTGCGCTTCTGTGCCGTGCTGTAGTATACCGAAGAGCTGCCCTACAGAGAAACACGCCGGGAAGCAGGATCACTCTCTCTCTCTCTCGCTCCATTTCCGTCTTTCGCTCTTGTTTCGAAGAACTGCGCGAGAGAAAATATCCGTTTTCCGTGTTTTTCCCACGCTCTCGTCGGCTGCTGTGCGATAGTTTTCGTGGAATGGCCAAATGTTTTCGCACGGACCGGGTTGCCAGCCTGCCGGGTGACGTTTCGATCGTTCTGCGATCTTCGTCGTCAGGGTCGGGGGGTGAAGGTGCGGATGGGCGGATTAATTTCAAAAGGGATTGAAATTAACCAGCTCAAAAAAGTGATAAATGGTTCTGGGAACCCTTGCCGGCGAGTTCCGGGAAGCAAAATCTTACAAACAACCGCCCGGCATGTTCGTTTGTGAGCGAGAATACCGGTTGTTGATGGGACCGTCTTCTGGAGCTGGAACGGCGCATGCTCGTCTTCCAAGTTCTCAACCATGGAATGCTTGCGCCCGCTCGTTGTTGTTGGGGTAGTTGAGGGAAAAATCAATTTCTCCCGACTTGAAACCCGCTGCCACTGCCGGGGGAGAGCTTTGCAACAGTCAGATGGTGGCGTGTGTGGTGTTCCTGTGAGAGTGTGTGTGTGTGAAAATTCGCCGGCCGGGAAATTTTCTTCCTCTTCTTGGGAATTTTTCCCCGAGAGAAAAGAGCGGGAGAGGAAAGCAGGATGAAGGTCATCCTGTGTGTAATTGCAAATTGGAAAATGAGGGACTTTCCTCGGATCGAGATCGATTCCCCGAAGCCATTCCGCGACGTTCCCGGTTTTAGGTCGAAAAACTAATTGAATTATGATAGTTTTGTTTGAATTTGCAAGGCACCATTAGAATGTAGGTTAGCAGGATTCTGAACCTCCCTTCGGCTCTCGCACGAAAATGCGATTTTTTCTTGCATGTGTGTGGTTTTTTTTTTGCTCGGCTGGAAAAAAAATATCAAGGTCAATCTGGATTCGCTTGGTGCCGGGAGTTGCTGCTGGTGATGGTGCGCATGTCCATTGTGGCAGGGAAGCCCAATGGAGTGGTAATATTTTTAAGTTTTTGTTTACATTTATGGCAGTTCGTTTGTTGTTGATTTTTTTTTTTCATTCGTTCGCTCACTTTGTTGAGTAGTGTTGGAGATAGTTCGAGGCAGAACTAATTAGGAGAGCTTGCATGGATGCAGTTGGAATCGATTTTTTTAAAGTTGAACCTTCAAAATTGGTTTTCTTTGGAGGGTTCGTTTTGTTTTACTGCAGAACTTCAGAACAAATTATTGATTTTGGATTATGCTCTCGCTTCGCTGTGAGGCGGGAATTCTCGCGTTTATCAACGATGTTTTGAAAACATTGAGTTCTAGGAAATTCATTTTTTATAAAGCAAAAGAGCAGTTCCAGGCCAAATAGCGCCAAAATTCCATGAAACTTCGCATAATTGTTCGCTAGGGGCAATGAATCGATTTTGTGCAGGAATTTGGCCATTTTGAATCTCTTTTAGTTTGAGGTTTCAACATAAGTTTAAAAATCTTTAAAATGTACTGTTTTTGTTGTTCAAATTTTAAAAGTTTGGTTTTAATTTTTTTCTATAAAACCTACTGATTTGTTTTCAGTGTGTATTTTTTTTATTAAAAGGCAATCCAGTTTCCTACAACTTTGTCTCAAATTTCATTTCGATTACATGAGCCGTTTCGTGCTACGATTTGTTAAAAAAATTCGAATACGCCATTTTGAAAAATTTGGCTTGCAAAAATGGCCAATTAACGGTACAAACTTGGTTCATTACCCCTAGTGAACAATTATGCAAAGTTTCATGGATTTCGGAGAGGAAAAATAAAATCGATTCGATCGATTTATAGATCCTCAATATCATAAGTGAATTAATATTTTTTGAAAAATATCCGCCAATCTCATCAATTGACGAGCAAATTTTAGCAATGAGCAGTTCCAAGCCAAGTGACGAATCGATTCGACTCTACCTTCTTCCATTTGTTTGAAACTTTGCATATTTGTTTGTCATGGGTAATGATTTACATTTGTGCTGAAGTTCGGCCATTTAGGATCTTGCCATTTTTTTTCAATATGGCGTATATGCATTTTTCAATAAATCGTTGCACGAAAACGACACTTCTAATTGACATGACGTCTGAGACAATGTTTTAGGGAAAAGTTAAGTCTTTCTAGGAAAAATACAAACGGAATAAGTTATTTTGGGTAGTTAACCAAAAAAAGTGACGTAGCTTGTATAACAAAAAATGTCCTCGTTCAATATTTTAAATTTATTTTCTCAAAAACAGTTTTTCATAACCTTTTTAAGGAAAATAAAGTTTTGACCATACTTTTAAAATATGAAAAACATTGGACACTTAAAAATGGCTAAATTTAAGCTCAAATGTGAATGATTTCCTAGAACAAACAATTATATAAAATTTCATGAAAATCGGAGCAGTGACCTAGAACTGCTCCAATGAAAAACTCGACATTTCTGGACATTTCCAACAATTCCAGTGAACTTGTTATCTGGACTTGCCAATAATGTTATCTAGCTTTGTCCAGGTAGTTTGGTGGATTTTTACAAAACGTCGTTTGGACTTGTTCAGCATGTCGTTTGGACATGGCCAGCAAGTCTTCTGGACTTGTCCAGCAAGTCATCTTGTCGGACTTGTATAGCAAGTCCTCTTGTACTTGTACAGAAAGTCCTCTAGTCGGACTTATACGGCAAATCCTCTTGTCGGACTTGTACAGCAAGTCCTCTTGTCAAACTTGTAGCGCAAACTTGTAGAGCTTTTACAGAAATTCCTCGAGGTCGGACTTGTCCAGAAAGTCCTCTTGTTGTACTTGTACAGAAAGTTCTCTAGTTGGACTTGTACGGCAAAAATCTACTTGTCGGACTTGTACAGAAAGTCCTCTTGTCGGACTTATCCAGCAAGTCCTCTTGTCGAACTTGTACATCTAGTCTCTTGTTGTACTTGTATAGAAAGTCCTCTTGTCGGATTTGTCCACCAAGTCATGTTTTCGGACTAGTCCACCAAGTCCTGTTGTCGGACTTGTACAGTAAGTCCTGTTGTCAGACTTGTACAGCAAGTCTCTTGTTGTACTTGTATAGAAATTCCTCAAGGTCGGACTTGTCCACCAAGTCATGTTTTCGGACTTGTCCACCAAGTCCTGTTGTCGGATTTGTACAGCAAGTCCTGTTGTCAGACTTGTCCACCAAGTCCTCATGTCAAACTTGTACAGCAAGTCCTCTTGTCGGACTTGTCCAGCAAGTCTCTTGTTGTACTTGTACAGAAAGTCCTTTTGTCGGACTTATCCAGCAAGTCCTCTTGTCGAACTTGTACAGCTAGTCTCTTGTTGTACTTGTATAGGAAGTCCTCTTGTCGGACATGGCCACCAAGTCCTGTTGTCGGATTTGTACAGCAAGTCCTGTTGTCGGACTTGTACAGCAAGTCCTCATGTCAAACTTGTAGAGCAAATCCTCTTGTCGAACTTTTACCGAAATTCCTCGAGGTCGGACTTATCCAGCAAGTCCTCTTGTTGTATTTCTACAGAAAGTCCTGTAGTCGGACTTGTACGGCAAATCCTCTTGTCGGACTTGTACAGAAAGTCCTCTTGTCGAACTTGTACAGCAAGTCTCTTGTTGTACTTCTATAGAAAGTCCTTTTGTCGGATTTGTCCACCAAGTCCTGATTTCGGACTTGTCCACCAATTCCTGTTTTCAGACTTGTCCAGCAAGTCATGTTGTCGGACTTGTACAGCAAGTCCTCATGTCAAACTTGTAGAGCAAGTCCTCTAGTCGAACTTGTACAGAAGTTCCTCGAGGTCGGACTTGTACGGCAAATCCTCTTGTCAGACTTGTACAGCAAGTCCGCTTGTCGGACTTGTACAGCTAGTCTCTTGTTGTACTTGTATAGAAAGGCCTCTTGTCGGATTTGTCCACCTAGTCATGTTTTCGGACTTGTCCACCAAGTCCTCTTGTCGGACTTGTACAGCAAGTCCTCGTGTCAAACTTGTAGAGTAAGTCCTCTTGTCGAACTTGTACAGAAATTCCTCGAGGTCAGACTTGTCCAGCAAGTCCTCTTGTTGTACTTGTACAGCAAGTCCTCTAGTCGGACTTGTACGGCAAATCCTCTTGTTGGACTTGTACAGAAAGTCCTCTTGACGGACTTGTCCAGCAAGACCTCTTGTCGAACTTGTACAACAAGTCTTTGT